ACCAGTTAACATAAACTGATTAAATTATAAAAAATAACATAGATTGGAGCACATTTACTTATCTTATATGCAGTTTATTTTACCAAGCACTGTATATTGTTAATAACGCCTATGACCCAATCACATTATATAGATTGTATCATTTAATCTTCACAATAATCCTATTATAAATTCAGTGTTGCTATTATTATTTTAATCCCCATTTTTGAAGTACAGACACTGAGGCACAGATAGCTACAGTGACTTGTCCAAGATCTCACAGGCAGTAAGTGACAGAGCTGGGATTCAAACCCATGTCCACTTAACTTTAAGAGGCCTTGAATTTTAAACCCTATTCTAAATTCCTTCTCAGTTCACCCCAAAGGTGAAAAGAAGAACTTCAAAGCTCATGGACTACAGCACATGAAGTAAGGATTCTCAACTCCTAAAGCCTTCTACCAGCTTTGCAACTTCTCACAACATCCTAACCCTCTCTGTGCCTTTTAAAGTTAAAAACCTTAGGTCTGTCTACTTTTTACTTGTCATTTTTACATTTCACACCTATTCTCTGTCACTTTTCTTGGTAACTGCTTCCCATTTGTTTTTTTGTGCACTGACAAAGATTACACAAAGCAGTGGTAGCACGGCAGGCAAACACTAATGCAGCTCTGTACTCTTCAGTTTGCTTCTGAACATTTTCCCCCACTGCAATGAAGATGTTTAGTACATTCCTCTAACATGCATCATTTTTCATGATCAAGAGGGCATTTTCTCCACCCATCTTCAGGTATTTCCTAGGAATTCTAAACAGGTTTTCATATAGGGAAATCTGAATGTGCAACATGGTAGATGTGGTCATTAGTTAAATAAATGCCTAAATTTAAAACATAAAAATGATGAATCCCTTAAAATGTACGTGTAAGAAGACATTTGACTTGGGACTGTTAACAAAGGTACATATTTAAAAGGCAGATAATTGGGTTAATTGATTTCCTTGTTTTAAATCACAGCTTATGATTTTTAATGGTCCTAAACAATTACAAGCCCACTGGTATAAAGCTATTTCTGGATCATCACAGACTTTCCTGACTTTGCTGTTGCTTTAAGATTCAGCAGTTGTGTGGCTCACTGTTAACAAGCCAGTATTACTTGCCAGTTAAATGGACAGTTAAAGAACATAAATTAATCTTCTTCAGAGGATGCAGTAAGTCTTGCCTCTAGAATCCTTTCCCGATACACCTTTAAGTGATTTTGCAATTGTGTAGTTTTAGAAATTTAGTCAATTACAAACCGAACCACAAGTTCTCTAGTTTAGCAGAGAAATCCATCATTTGAACCTCCTGTTTTGAAAATGGACTTGTAAAACCAGAAGTAAACTGATCAGTTTTGCTAAACCAAATTAGACTGAATGAAAGAAATAGGATTTCATAAAAATCTTAGGAATTGAAGACAATTTTAAAAGATCATTCAGTCCAGCCAACCATTAAAAATTATATAAAACATGTCTGGGGAGTTTAGAGAAAGTGACAGTATTTGAAGGGAAGCACTCTGATAGAAATAGAGCAGAACACAAACCTGGATTCAAATTATTTGAAAGAGGGGAATTCTTTATTAATGCTAAAAATGTAAATCAGGTTGCATTTAGCCTAATTATCCAGTAAAGAGGTGTTAACTTATCTTTATATGAATGAAGGCTTCAGATTAGCATATTCAAAAAACATTCCCTTCAGAATGAAAATCTCCTGTAGATATATCCCACTTAACTGTTATAATAAAGGCCCTTGAAATTTATTTAAACACCCTCACAATTCTTAACTGTCTCCAATGAACTGTCTCTGAAGACTCCTTAAAACATAATTATCCAAGTACAAAGTGCATCACTTTTGCCACTTTTCTCAAGAAGAAACTCTTGACTGATGGAGGTAAGATCATTTCCTTTCAAAGCTATTGGAGAAACTTGCTGGAAAACGCATAGCGGCCCACCACCGTGGGTACTTTCCAGATGGAGAAAGAGAAGCCCCTAGAGGTCGAAACCTTAACATGACATTATGGCTGTAATTTTAATGTGAACATGAGGCTTATCAAGACTACAGTTCTCAAGACATTCATTCCTAAGCCTTTCAATACCATATACAACTCCTCTATTGAGTCTTAGCTGTCCATGAAACGGAAGAAATGAAAGAACACCTGAGTGCACGTAACTCGGGGTTAACAGAGGTCGACACTATATGGATGTTATCGATAGCCTCAACACTTGACTTGACAGTTAAGTCTCCACTTGAATTTGTTACCAAATTCAGAATAATCCAGACTTAAATGTGTCCCATTATGGGAATTTTCATATATACTCAATTTAACATGGGTTATTCTCATTCTGAAACTTTTTGGGACTCCTTTTCTATTTAGAATCAGTTTTTTTAGTTAGGTTCCAAAAAAAAAAAGCTTTTTGGTTTCACCATACCTGTCTCTTCCTTTCTTAATTCATTGAAGACAATGGCCCCTAGTATCCTTTTTAATTTCTTCAAGGTATAGTGTTTATTTTATTTGATGTAAAACCTCCTTAAGCAAACATCATCCCCAAACCCACCACCTTCTGTAGAAGCAGTTCTTACATAAATATACGTCTACAGTATTTTAACCTAGTGCCTCCAGTGCATATTAACAGGTCCTATACCCTCTGTTTCTTGGAGATTTTTCTCTCACTTATTCTAACCCTGGTTTATATGTACATTAAAAGCACAGGCTCTGGAACCCCATTACTGAAGTCTGAATCCTGGTTTCTACCACTTAAAAGCTGTGTAATTTGGGTAAAATTACTGAAGCTTCTTCATATGCGAAGTGAGACTAGAACAGCACCTAACTTAAATGGCAATATGAGAGAGAATTAAATGAAATAATACAAAATGACCTTAGCAGAATGCTTGGCACATAAATACAGCATATTACTATTTAATATATTTAACGCCCTCCAGAACCATTTAAAGGTTTTTCCCACTTCAGGCCCTCCCCTTCAGCTCTCTACCTCCAAGCATCTCTTCACCCATTTCTTCCCTTCAACTCCTAATCCACCAGTCATGCTTCTTGCCATTCAAACTATTTTCTGCCAAAGTTACCACTCTTTACTAAATACAGCTATAAGTAAGCGGTGCCTAACTAATTTGTATGCAGAATATAAAAACACATTTATATTTTACAAACAAAATGCAGAGGTGAAATAAAATATACACAAATATTCTAAAACCCACTACACAAAAAAACCACTTTGATATACACTTCTGATTTTAAACATAAACCTGAACACAAATTCTCCCCATTTCCTTAGACTATTATCACTGGAAAATTTAACAGGAAAAAACTGAAGAATGTTCTGAAAGAATCATAATCAACCTTGTTAGATGTAAAATGCTTACTCTTTCAAAAACATATTTAAATTGGATTATTTGTTACTGATTTCCTGGGTACAGATTTAGATGGAGCATGAGAAAATGAATTATGTAAATCATCTGTGGACTATAAATACAAGGCAGCTTTTACAACTTTTATTTGGAAATGATAATTAAAAAAAAAATAGTCACCAAGTAAAAATACTAGTCAATACTTAGGTATATACTTAGATATAATTTAAATTTTAAGAATTTACAAGTCACATATAAAACAGATTCTAAGCAAATGTACCTATATTATTAACATAAGCTAAAATGGAAGATTTAAGGAATTAATTTTTCTTCAAGAGTTTATATAGAGTTTGTGACAAGAAGAGCTCAGTTAGGAATTTTGCTTTTTCATTTTCAGCTCTTAACTCCTTAGAATTCAAGTATCCAACCCACCAAGGGCAAGAGCAGACAGTTACGGAACAGTACACACATTGTGACACTCTGTTATCATCCTTAGTGGCCGAAGCACATGTTAAATTCTGTGAGCTTTGCTAGCCAAGGAATCCTTTTGCCAACTAACTGTACCACCTTCCACACCACCACCAGTCCCTTTCCTAAGGCCGCTCCTTTAAGAAAATCTACAATGCAGCTACCAATGTTAGTGCTGGTCAGCTTGCTGGGTAGGAAAGATGGATGGGCAATGAAGGAGAAAGTCACCAAGGCCACCAGGGCTGCCAATTACTGTTGTTCCATCTGTGCCCTGAACCAGGGCACTCAGGAAAGTGTGGTGTGGTCAGAAATTCAGCCCAAATGCTCCAATCCCTGATGTCAGGCATGAGGCTGCATCTTCCCAAAAGAAGGGACGCCTTTTTCCAATATGCACAAAGATGCATAATGGGTAACTATGGCCTTGGGCCCATGTAACAAAGCAGCAACCAGATAGTGTCTAACTGACTAGGAAAGAACGAACTAAACCTTTACTCAGTACCCACTCTGTACTAGAATCATGATAAAAACTTTATACATATATTATTTTCTTTAATATCTTCCTCTCTATAAAAATGCCTTTCCTACAGGCATTATTAAACCTTCTTTGTAGATGAGGAAAGGGCAGATTTAAGTAGATTGCCAAATAAGAGTCAGGAAGATTTATACTCAGATTTACCTTCTGTGAGAAAGGTGGAAATGGGCTCAGTAACACGTAGTAGGCCCAGGAAAGACGCTTTGGGACTTATAAATTGCTACCTTTCCATTATTTTCAAGATAGAGCAAATATCCACCATAGCTCTGCATCCCATCCAAACCACAAAGGACGGAAAGTTCAACTCTAAGGGTTCAGACTTAAGAAAGCAAGAGAATAAAACAATAGCATGTCAAAACTAACCCAACTAGGAATTTGCGATATTTACTCCAGAACTTAACTTTAAAAACTGTGGCTATCAGTTACCAGTTTCTATGTATTAATGACTAAACAATGCTTTGGTGTAACATGTTACTCTGAAATAAAATAAGCTTCCCATATGAAACTGGATAGAGATTAACTACCACCCATGATACAGTTCCCTTAAAATAATTACTATTTTCCACAGAAAGTTATCCCAGTGCTCAAGCATTCTCCATGTGCTCTAATTATAGTGTTCCACTCACCTGAGGCTGAGTTCATCATATTCTGCTGCACTGGTGGACTGGTGGGGGCTGTGACGTTCATCTGGGAGAGCATGGCCTTCCTGGGGTCCTGCCATGTTGTTGTCTGATCGATATGACTGAGACGAAACAAACCACTGCATTAGGTAACAAACACCAGGTCCTAAAAACAACAATCCCATGTACCAAAACAGGGTAGACATATGGCTAATATGCAAAGGGTTCTAGACTAGCTCTGTGAAGGACACCGTCATCTTATCTCACTGCTCCCACCCTTCTGCTGCAATCTTTTTTCATCCTTTTAACCACTCAATTTTTAACTCTTAAACCTTATAACCTTGTAAGTGCAAGATTTGAAAAAGCTATGCCTGGAATTTGAAGGGAAGGGAAACCATTTTCACCTAGTAGACAATTACTATCTGCTTCTAATTTAAAGAATAAATGTGATTATTATAAATTCATCATCTATATCATTAGTCTTTTGACTAACACCCAAAATTTACAAGGGAATCACCCATTTTTCTCCTAGAGCTAAGAATGCCAATTAAAACATGATTTTTAGACCTAGAGCCTTTTAGGTAAAACACAGAAAGATGGAAAAGTCTTCTAATGCTCCAAAGCCAAAACAGAATCAAAAATTTCATCTGTGAATTTTGTTTCCTGTGACTGTCAAATGCCTTTGTTATTTGCTAAACAAAACATTTAAGCATTTTCCACATACTTACTGAAAAATATACATATGCATACAGATTTCTTCATCTATTAAACTGGGATGAGAACACCGAGAGTCTATGAAATGTAAGACTACAAGGCATCTAACACAGCATCTGCTATATGAGCATTCAATAAATAGTAGTTTTCTTCTTCCGGCAAAGTTTAATTGCTTCAGTGAAACAAAAACTAAAGTACACTGTATACATGAAACCACCTAAAAAAATTATCCTGAAGAAATAGCCAGAGAAGTACTCAAAGATTTATGAGGCAGTCTCTCTGTGCAGTTTTTAAAGAGGAAAATGTGAAAGCCAGCTAGCATGTAATGACAGGGATTGGTTAAACAAATATTGTTGCACATGATAGACTATAATGTAGCTATTGAAAATATTTCAGAAGAATATTTAATAATGTGGAAAATATTCATAATACAGCTCTTTAAAGCAGGTTGTAAAACAGTATGTACAGTATGAGGCTAATTGCTTGAGAGAGAGAACTGACAACACGGGAAGACAGATGCCAAGAGACGTTTTAAGAGTGTTAAAGGACAGACATTTTAACAGCACTTTTGCCTACATGACAAAAATCACAGAACTCTGCTTTGCTAGGTTTTCCTTTTATTAAATGATCATGAACTCATTACTTTTGAAATAACGGAGATAAATGGTAAGGAAATGACACCCTGTCATTAACGTCCCTGAAATGGAACTAGAATGCTATCTCATCAATAAGACTATCTTATCAACAACTGTCTAGTAAAAAAGGATCATAGACTTGGGTTAGAATGAACCTTAAATATTCTCTACTTAAGATGGAAAATAATTCTTTTAGCTCCTTGGCAAGCAGAAAGGGGATGAAAGCAGGGAACTAAAAATGTGGAAGATTGTACACTTAGGAATGATAATGGTACCTGTCAATTCAAGGGTATTACAATGTACCAATGTTGAGAGAAAGTATTTTATTCAGTGGAATATATAATTTCTCAAATATTAACTCACCAGTACTTCTTTTTCCCACCAGTCATATTTGATTTTCAGCAACTGCACTTGTGTTTGCCCAGGTCTAGATAATATAGCAAAACTGTATTCAAATCTTGCTATGTGAGCACCTCATTCCAAAAGATAAATTCATATCAAGCCCAGTAAGAGCTTATTCCTCTTCCTTTTCAATCTTCCATATGAGCCACTCACAAATTAAACCATGAAATGTTCTCTGGACATACAGTGCTTCTCATGCTTATGGGCTATTAAGCAATACACATGGTAATCAATATAGTCATACTCCAGAAAAACAGCTTAAAATTTACAAGAACAAAATTTGGGGAACTGTTTTTTCACTGCCTGTTACAATGTTAAGAAACCAGGGAAGCAACTGGTCAGTGATTCATTATGAATGGCTCTGAAAACTCAATGAAAGTGTATGCAACTGTCTGTCTCCAGTACGTCTTAAAATCACCAACATTTGGGTGGGATAAAGGAGAAGAGGGAGGTATACTGGAAACAAGTTCAGGAGTGTGACTGCTGAAGGTTTTCTAAATATCTAACAATTGGGTTTCTCTGAAAATAACCGATTATATAAATTATATTAATCCATCTGTAACTAGATAGGGCTCCACTAGAGGGCTAGACCCTATTCTAATGACTATAACAACTACATGCATTTCCCCAAATCTTGGAGTCAATCTGTAAATCTCTTAAGGCTTCATTATCCTTTAAATTAGGGTTTTTATAATATTATGCAGAGAATGAACAGTTTTACTGCTCTCAAGACTGATTGCATTGCTAAAATTTTGTGTGTAAGTGTACAAATGCTAAAATCGTTCCTCCTGAAAAATCTATGGAACATCAGTTAATTTAGAGTCTGACAAAGCTGTACTATGTTACCTCAGCTAATGTTCCACTTACTTAAGGAATTCTTTTTTAAGGGATAAAGATGCCATTATCTAAACTGTCCAACTATAAAACCATACAACCATTTCAATGCCAAAGGAAATGTGAAATAAAATTAACTTCAGAATTTTTGTCTGCACTTATTCTGTAAGATTAAATAATGAAAAATACTCGTTTATCTTAGCCAACTTGCAACAGCATATCCCAAAGTATCTAGCCTTCCTTTTTATCATAAGAACAAGAATCTTGATAAAAACATCTCCTACAAAAAAAGAGGGAATTTTTGAGGACCAAAAAAAGAACAAGTTTGCCAGCCCAGTGTTCCTTCAGACATTGGCTGGGTACCCTTCCCTCGACCTCCTCCTGGCCTACCCCCACTAGCCATATTCTCAGTGAGACCCTCCCTGGCTGTGTCATCTAAAATCCCTAAACTTCTACTCCATTTTCTTCACTTTATTTTTCTGGATAATCCTTTATTATCTGACATATAATTTACTTATTTTGTTTGCCTGTTTATTCCAACTAACATAAACTCCAGGGATAGGGATAAGGATTTTACCTATGTTATTAACTACTGTAATTTAAACTTTTAGAAGAGTGCATTATTATTCATTTGTCAATGAATTAATGAAAAGAAAGTTTTTCCTTTTTTGCCCTAAGGGTATCAAACTTTCTCTCAAAGAAAGTTTGTATTGTAACCTTAATGACTTATTAACACCTACCTTTTCCATAAATGGACACTCAGGATGACAGATCCACTAGAATTAGCCATAAGGAGATTACTGGTGACATTGGCAAGAGCAGCTTCAGTGGCATGAAAAAGTGTATTAATGAACAGGAGGCAAGGAAGCAAATTTAGTTACCTAAAAAGAGGAAAGCAAAAAAGCACCTGGATGGATATGTTTGTTTTTTTCCAGAGGAAGAGACAAAGTGTTTAAAAGTGAATAGAAACAGAGTAGCTGAAGTTGTGCCAAGGGATAGTTGAAAAATTACAGTCATTCATCAGAGGGTGGGAAGAAACAGGAAACAGACACTGTTTCCACTATAACAGGAGGTGGAAAAGAAGGATGAGGCAGAGGAAAGTAATTTCACTGCCTGGTCACAGTTGAACAAGTTCTAGTATGATTGCTTTTCCTTTCTTAGCAAGAGGTATAACATTAATTAAGTGAGTTGGCATTACTGGTACCCCCACCATGCAAATAGGAAACTGAGGGATTTACACAAGGTCACACATCTAATACATACCAGGATGGCATCTGGTACCCAGGAATTCTGAAAACAATTTCTGTACTAGACACATATGATAAGGACAATACTCAAAATGCAAACTCTCTGTAATGTATATTGAATAACAAAAAGATTGCATAAATAGTTGGAGGGGGTAGAAAAAAAGGCATGGCTATTTAAGATTCAGTAAAAAATGCCAGAGTATCACAAAACACAGTTTCTTTTACCACCAGAATATAAGCTTCTTGAAGGACACGCTGGGAGACCTAGGAGAGTGCAAGCTGTACAGGAGGGCTCAATAAATATGTGCTGAATTGAACAGACATTAAGGCAGTATGTACTATGAATGTAGGTGATTAGGAGTTCACATAAATGCTAATCTGAAAAAGGGTTGACAAAAACTTTATCATCCAAACTACAAATTTAAAAAAATGTAAAATTATAAATAACAATTAAAGTATACAAACTGAGGAAATAAAATTAAGGAAAACTCATAAAACAGTATTTTCAGAGTTAAAAATGAGTGATTACATATAAGAGAAAATAACTTAAGATTTAGTTTATCATGTTCCTAAGAACAGTCTAGCTGCTGAACTTACTACAAGAAAATAAAAGTATGCAATTCTACAGCCCTTCTAAAACATATAAATAAATACAGTACTCTGCTATTACTTTGGAAAAGAAAAGGCAATTGGATTTATGACCAATATAAACTCTATGATCTCACTCTACAACAGCTAATGCTGGGAAACAATGAACCTGTCAAAGTTTAGACTGACGAAAGGTAAGCAGCTGTACTTTGACCAAGGTCCATGTTCAGCAGCAGTCTCTCGTATATATACAGAGCCACCTCTCCTGTTGGCTACATTATAGTTATTTGGTTTTATCTATTGGATGGCTTAGCAAATGCATACAGAACCAAAAAAGGATAAATCCTGAAGCAAACCATTAGAAAACTGATGTTTTGCATAATCCGACAAGTTAACTGAGCTATGGTATACAGAAATATTTAAAGGGCTTTATATCATACTATGAGATGTAAATCTCATGAAACTCAAAACCTGAGCCTTGAACATGCAGGGATTCTGACATTGTAAAGAGTAACAATAATATTGTCACATCTTCAAATTACTAAGGGAAAACACAAGAAATATGAAATGCATAAAGGTTGAAAAAATAATCACTTAAAAAAAAACACCTACAATTTACTGATATGTCCAAGGACAGCGACCAGTATACAGAAGAGCTGGTACTTAAACTCAGTACTCTTTCTACTACATCAGACTTCCTCT